CCACCCCCCACCCCCCAAGAAAAAAGAGTTACTTTGTCCAGCAACGGGTTAGATTGTTTACACTCCGTATTAATGGAGAGAATTAGTTCGAATAGCCATAGATGCCTTTCAAAGTGCATGTTAGAAGGTTCAACAGTTCTTATTTGTCTGGAATGGTTTTGCTTTTATATGAAGTCTGGACTGTTGGAATGTTAGTATTGTCTTGACTGCCATATTTACTGTGAACTTAAGGCGCTATGTATCGTTACTTCCTAAAACTGTTACCATTTGTCTTTCTTTGGTACAGATTCCGGAAGCTCATCTGGTGATGAATCGGATGCTGGTAAAGATTCAGTTCCTAAAACTGTTCAGAAGGTGTGAATATTGTAGCCTAATTTTATTATTTATGTGGTTCTCTTATCTGATAATTATTATGCCTTCTATTGCCTTCTAAATTCGTTTTGTTCTTCCGCAGGCAACAGCGGCTTCATGGAGGAGAACCGAGCAGGAAGATGAGCTTGATCTTCCAGAGACTAGAGGTTGTCAACCTGTGGAATCAAATATCATGATTGTCATAGCTGCTTTTTTTTCTTTAAATCTGTGGGTAGTGGGAAGATTTTGATAGCTATATTTGGTCAGTATGTGTGCTGATAGTGTTTGTGTTTATGTTTGTGTCATACAGATTCCCTGGCTGACCTGCTGACTTCCGAGAAAAAGTCCATTTCTGCTGAGCCCGATGATCATCGAGAGGGTAAGCAATGGTAATAGATGAAGAAAATGTCTGGTACTAGTTTTGCAGCATCATCTCACACATCCTGTGCTGTAACCTTTTAGAGGAGAGTGCTGAACCTGAGAGGCAAGTCTCTCCTGAGAAGCTTTACCGCGCAGCTTTGTTAAGAGGTCGGTTTGCGGATATCATACTAAAAGCTCAGGAGAAGAGCCTTGAAAAGGTCTGTCAAACTTTACCTGCTGTTGCCTGTGTTAAGTTAGATTCTTTAGTTCCATTCATCCAGGGTGTCCTATTGTTTAGCTAAAGAATGTTTTTATGATTTTAGGGTGAAGTGCGGGACCCTGAAAGGCTAAAGCTTGAGAGAGAGGAATTTGAAAGGCGAAGGCGTGAAGGTTTGTTTTTTTTGTTGTTAGCATGCACGGAATTCCACGATGACATCTCTGAAACCACCGCTTTATTTTTTTATCTGCTTATTCAGAGAAAGCTCGCTTACAAGCGGAAGCTAAGGCTGCCGAAGAGGCTCGTAGAAGAGCCGATGCAGAAGCTGCTGCAGAAGCCAAAAGGAAACGAGAACTTGAAAGAGAAGCTGCCCGTCAGGCACTCCAGAAGGTAAAGACAGATGAGGTGGATTCATCGGGATCATCTTTTACTGTCACTGTTTAACTCATAAATCACATGTTCGCAGATGGAGAAGACTGTTGAAATCAATGAGAACAGTCGATTTTTGGAGGATCTGGAATTGTTTAAAGCTGCTCCAGATGAACAGTTAGAGAGCTTCATTGAGGAAACGAGTCCTGGTCATTCTGAGAATGTTCTTGGCAGTTTCAAATTTAAGGCAAATAGTAATCCGTTGGAGCAACTAGGATTATATATAAAGGATGACGAGGAGGAAGAAGAAACTGAACCACATAGCGTTCCTGCCGTATCGAATGATCCGGAGGAAGGAGAGATTGATTAATGTCGCCTTTAATACTTTAGCCAATCGACAAGTTGGAGCGGGTGATTTTCTTTTGAATCCTTGCGTGGTGATTTGGTATAACTGGAAGAAATAGGGTTGGGAGTCCACAAATGAGAAGCATGAGCTTTTATTGACTTTGGGTCTCCCTGTAATTGATGCCAGTTTGGATGCTTCTTCAGAAGACTTGGTTGTGGGGTCTGGCCAATATAGCCAGCCATCTTATATTTATATTCCAGATTCTTTTGCTCGTGTAGAAGTTGGAATGGCGTGAGTTGGTTATATGTCCAGTGAAAGTACTAGGGGGTGGCTAGTGCTAGGCAGATGCATGATTACATAGTTTAGTACTAGATTGCAGCGATAAGTAAAAGAAAAATGTTGTTGAAAGGATTCCTTGGCTTTTCCGTCCAAAAATTTCACGTTTTGTTAATAAAGTCAAACAACAAATGGTGCGGAACATATCTAACGTCCAATCCAAGACCCAATTTTTGCTTCTGCAACAGTTCGACAAAAATAACGGGAAAAGCCTGCCAACTCTTTACAAAATTTTATCCCCCAGTTGGGGAAAAGCTAACAAGCTAAACCAGAAAAGTGAACTCAAAAAAGAGGAAGAAAAAAGGAAGCCGTCTGCTCCTATGATATTACTACTGAGTCTACCCTTCTCGATAGGACGGAGTGACCGATACCTACAGCATGGCATAATCAATCAACCTTTTAATCACACCCACGACAAGGAGACAACGGGGAAGCTGAAAATTTCTACATAACCATTCCACCATCAATAGTAAGAACCTGCAAGGACAATAAACGCTATTATAAATATTGTGTCAACGAGAAAAAAATATATTTAGTAAAGCGAGGATAGAGTGAGATATGATTTTAATACCTGTCCAGTAATATAGCTGGCTGCAGGACTGAGTGCAAGGAATTCCACCAATCCAGCAACTTCTTCTGGTTGACCATATCTTCCTGTCATTGCAACAAAATTTGTTAGTAGTTTAAAAAAACAAATTACTGATATTGTTGATCTTACTGATCATAGTCAATCAGAAGTGAAATATCATTAACTTTCATACTGAATACAGAAAAAAAATACTCGTAGTGACACTTCCAAACCTCACACCAAAACGAGCAGATTTATGCATCACAACACAATCTCTTTACTCAGAAACTTATCTGATCAATTGAATATCTTGATCCATGAGTGTTATTCAATTATGTCCCAGCCTTCCAACAAACAAAATACCAATAATTTTAAAGTACTCCAGAGTTGTTTTACTGACAGATTCCTATAAATAAACGGTGAGATAATACTTTTCTTATTTAAACAATGAACAATGGAAAAAGGGAGGCAGCCCGGTGCACAAGGCATCCTACATTCACGCAGGGTCCGAGGAAGGGCCGCACCCCAAGGGATGTAAGGTAGACAACCTACCCTAATGCAAGTTGAAAAACACCCTTTTTTGAGTTTCTCAACTTGCAAGAGCTTATTACAAAAAATATGTTTGAATAATTTTCGCAAACATTTCAAAAAATCTCCAAACACTCGCACAGCAGCCACTTAATCAGTTGTCTAAGAAGTCAATTTCTATATGTTTCCATATTTGATGTGCAGGACAGTGTCGCATCAAACAGTCCTGCGCATCAAACAGTTGTCAATCATAGTCTTAAGGAGATTAGCCCTTACCTAAGGGAACGCTAGCCAAAATTTTCTTCTCAATGTCATCACTTAGCTTAGAAGTCATATCTGATGCAATGAATCCAGGAGCCACAGCATTAACCTGATGAAAAACAAAGATTGTGGTTAAATAGTCAGTAGCTTGTCCTTGTAGAAAAGAACTAATTCCTTTCTAGTTGACATTCCAATGTCTCAAGGTTGCTTATATTAAGAGAAAATACTAACAGGAGTAAATAATCAGTCGGATTAAGGAGCACTTACAGTTATATTCCTGCTGGCGTATTCTTTTGCGACACTTTTAGTTAATCCAATCACTCCTGCTTTTGCTGCACTATAGTTGGCTTGCCCAGCATTGCCAACTAAACCAACAACAGAGGATATGTTGACTATTCTCCCCTACAAAAATTTAGAGAAGGCTTCTAGATAAAATTCTGGAGTATATGGAACAATATAAAAGAATGCTTTGATGATTTGTATGAATAAATACAGCTTCAAATTGACTGAAAGGCACAAATCAAACAGTGGGTTGGTAATTTATGCAGCAATTAGCTAAAACTTTAACCTTGCCAGACTATATCATTTTTCCATGAATTGCAATAGGGAAGGCGCAAATAATTTACCCTTTTCTTCTTCATCATAATTTTAGCGGCAGCCTGCAACAAGGAAAAAGATCTCTCATAAAAAATGTCTTCTTTGAAAAAGACTCAGGTTCAAGTCGAATTAAAAACTCCGCAACTGTATAGACCTGCGTGCAGAGGAACACTCCAGTAAGATTCAAGTCGAGAACCTCCTGCCACTGAGATTTCTTCATTCTCATCAACAACGTATCACGCGTTATACCTGGAAAGAAGAACAAGACAATTACTGAGAGGTCATTCTAATAAACTAACTCAAGACAGTATGACTTTTGTGAACCTGCATTATTTATTAAGATATCGACTGTTCCCCATCGATCAACCACCTGCATGCATGATCCTTACAAGGTGAAATTATCCAGAAACAACTGCAGTAAGATACATATAAAACTAGTTTCACCAGGAAAGGAGTTTGCTTACGGTTTTCATCATCGATTCTACATCTTCTTCTTTTGAAACATCACCACCAAAAGTCATCGCTTGGCCACCACATGATTCAATCTGCCAACAAGAAAGGAAATTAAAATTAATTTTGGGGAAGATGTAAAACGGCCTACAGATGAACCTTATCGCTGTTATCAGATTGCTAGTTGAAACAAGTACTCCTTCAGGTAGTGTTAACATTCTACATAGCACTTAACAAAAGAATTGGAAATCATTCATCAAACAAGTATTTAACCATTACTACCATTACGCGCAAAATAAAAACTTAGTCTTGAAATATTTGATAGCATCAGCTACTAAATACAAGAACAACCAACCTTCTGGTAGTACAAATTAAACAAAGCAAGTATCATGACCTAACTGGCACGAGATATCTCCATATGACTTTGGTTGTCAAGACTACTCAGCATTTCGTGAAAAAGAGAGTAATCAGTACAAGTGCTCCAAAAAGGTATACTAACAGCACTATTGGGTTTCAGTATATGAACTCATCAGATTAATTGCTAGCTATTTTCTCATCAGAACAATTCTGAATTTTATCTAAAATACAGAGAGCAGAACCACTTTGTCCATGGCTTACCAGTGTCTGAAGTTATAGGAGACCTTGCTCTCCCCTTCAGAAGATGTAGAACTGAGAGTATCCTTTAAGGCATCCAAGTATATATGATGTATTTGCCACAGGTCCTATTAAAGTCCAAACAAGAATTTCCTACTTAAATTTCTGCAATTTCAGAGGTATTACTACTCTGGTTTTCTGATTTCTAGCAAACTGATGTTTACTTGCTACAATACCTATCATGATTATATATAATAATTGTGGAGGTGAAATACAAGGAGCAACAGCTTGGTTTGTAAGGACCCAAATCTGAGTGGAGCTCAATCATTTTAAACCTAACAAATCTCCAGTAATTCTAAGTGACATATGGCATCATTTTCAGTTGTTGGCAGGAAAACAGCACAAAAGTTGCCACACCAGAAAATAATTTAAATGAAACTGTTACCTAATTTTAATGCACAAAAGTTGGCTAGGACATGGACCTCTGAAAGACCTTTTCACCGGCTTGAAGGATTTGAGTCTGAATCCTGAAGTCACAGTGGAAGACAGTTGGGACCAACAGGGATGGATTTTTAACTTTAGAAGAGAGCTAAATGACTGGGAACTGCCTAGATTCACTGAAGTTCTGAATGCTCTTGATCAGTACAAGGGGACTACAGCGGAGGAGGATAGGGTTAAATGGACAAGGCATAGTAATGGATCTTTTGTAGTGAACTCAGCATACAAACTGCTCAACCAGGGTCAGCAAACTCAGCTGTGGAGTTAGAAAATAATATGGCAAGCTTACCAACTAAAGTAGCCTGTTTTGTATGGTTAGCAGCCAGGGATGCTTGTCTAACACAAGACAATCTGATGAGAAGAGGTATGCCATTGTGTTCAAGGTGCCATCTATGTGGAAATGAGGCTGAAAGCAGTAGCCATTTATTCTTTAACTGTCAGTTTGCTAGAGCTCTAGAACACCTATTTTTCAGTATGAAAGGACTGTCATGGGCCCTGCCCAGGAGCAAAGTGGAGCTACTTTGCTTGCTGGAATTTCTCTGGAGACCTGATCAAACAAAAAAAGTGGTGGAAGACTATCCCTGGGTATATATGGTGGACCATTTGGACGGAAAGAAACAGTAGATGTTTTGAAGAAACAGCAACTCCTTAGAGAAGATCAAGATGAACTGTCTTTTTTTGTTTCACTTCTGGTGTAAGGAAGATTTTGTACATGATGTAGATTCAATGATAGATATCATAGGATCACCATAGTAGGAGATAGAAGATAGCCCTGGTTTTTGTTCTTTTTGATATCTGTATATATGGCCTTAGCACAGCCTTTTGTGCTACAATTATATAGTATGTTACCATTCTCAAAAAAAGATATCAACAAAACTATATTGAAAGCCGATGAAATTCAAAGAGAATAATTAAAAGGTCAGCTGGGAAGGTTGCTTGTGGCACAAGAAGGGATTCAGAGATAAAATACAAGCACCTGGCTAAGAAAGGAGATAATAACGGCCAATATTTACAGGAGATACAACTACATAAAAAAGAATCAACGGATGGTCAGAACTTTCAGGCAAAGCGGATTAGAGAAGACATAACCTACTACTACCAGAAGTTGTACTCTAAGATGGAGAATTGACAACCACTATTAAGCAGAACTCCTTTTTTCAGAGAATCAAAGATGAGAGGGAAAGATGAAGATCAATGGCATTACATTGTAGAGCAACTTCACAGTTTTGGGCAATGTTATCCTCATTTGTCATCTATTAGGCATTTTCAAAGAGAATGCTAGAGATTATAGTAAGCTAGAAGTAAGGAACCTTGGGACCAAGAATTCTATATTGCGTGGACTCTCCAAAATGCTGCCGTACCCGTGTCGGATCCTCCAAAAATACACTACTTTTGGAGGATCCGGCGACATTTTCAGAGAGTCCGAGCAACATAAACCGAGATGAAAGTAGCATGGAAAGCTAGTCACCTTTTTTGAACTGTATGGAAAGGAAAGACCAAGAGGATGCTTCAAGGCAGGGAGAAGAGCTTAAGAGTTGGTAGGAGACCAAGTGCAGCATATATAAACAGTTGTAAATATTTTTTATTACCATCTAAAGCGAATTACTTGAAACGATATAAGAGTTATCAAAAATAGAAGAACAATAAATAACTGTAAGCTTTCTGTAAAGATACACCGTATTTTCTATTTTATGCACTGCTAATGTTAGTACTATTTCTAAGTCATCCGCCAGAAATGCTTCGAAAACTAGATCCCACATGCATTCCAACTTTATGGTGTTTTGAGTCATGCTTTCCCACTTTATGGTGTTGTTGGAGTATTATCTTTCATGCCTCACAGTATAGGTCGAGTGATAGAGTCCAGCTTTTTAAGATTTGATACTGACCCAACATGCAGAAATTCCTCCAACGACTTGGAGATTCATATTTCACTTCAGGTCTACGAATGTAGAAGACAAACAAGAAGGCCAACAGCTAGGAGAAGAGGGTTTCAGATCTTAAAGAAAGAGATCCAACTTATAAATTTGAATTTTGCGTTAGTGTAGTTAGTGGATGAAAGTTGCTTGCTGTGGTCTGTCAACTCATATTTTCCCCAAAAGAAACAAAAAAGAAAAAGAAAAAGAAGTGACCACCCCAATATGGACCATTGAGCACTCAGGATGGTGAAAGAAGTGTAGAAATACACTTCCAAACATCATTCTGAAGTCAGACATACAGTTCCATGGCCTCAACTTTCAACCACAAAAGACAAATATATCACTTGGAATTGGAGGGATTTAGTACAACAACAACTATCTTGTGGGATTATACTGGGTTTGTTGTTGTTGTTTGTTAGTACAACAACAAGTATGCCTCAATCCCAAACAAGTTGAGGTGATGGGTCTGCTATATGAATATCACTTCGTGATTCACGCTCAACTCATATCATACCAAATTTGCAGTAAAGCAACAAAATGACACCTAATTTTTACTGGAAAAAGGAACACAGACCTCTTTGGAAACTTCTTCTGCCTCCTTTGAAGATCTCGCATAATTCACTAGGACCTGACAACAAAATATCAAGTGGGTTGGAAGAGTGCGCAAGAGATTTTTTCCAAATTACTCGCAATTTCAAGGCCAAAGGGTCCTAGATTTATCTAACAATAACAAGACAGTAAGCCAAAACCTCATAAGGCGATTAAGTAGATAAATGCAAAATTATCTGAAAATTAATATTGCGGTAGTAATGGAACATGATGGATGAATGAACGAATAATGACCTTGCAACCAGCTTTTCCCAAAGCCAAAGCAACGGCCTTTCCGATTCCTCTAGAAGCTCCGGTAACAACAACGACGGGAGCTTCCAGTTTTGCGGCACCATCAACTCCAGCTTGCTCGGTAGCCGCCACCTCAGCTCTTACACCTGATTATAATATCACGATCACATTATCCATCAACACACATATAAAACACGTAAAATGTGGCAGAAATATGTGGAGTGATGTACCTAAAAAGGCGGGAGAAGAGGAAGAGGACCATCGGTATTGTAAGGGAGCGGATAGGGAAGGGAAAAGGCGGAGATGCGAGAGTTGGCTGCGGACGGAGGAGCGTGCGGCGGCGGACGGACGGAAATTGGCGGTGGTGGCGGCGACGGAATTGAAGGCGAGAGAACCCATCGAACGGAGAAAGTTGCCAGGTGGGAATGAAAGGGAGATGAGATCAATGAAGGTCGTTTAATTGCAACGCTCCGATGAAATCTAGACAGAATTAAGGGAAGAGCCTTTGTTTCCAACTATGCTAATTTTGGGATTTTGTTAATTGGATCTTCTAAATGGAGTAATTAAGTTAAATATGCATTTGTCTTAATCGGGTTGTAATGTTAAACCTGAATACAGAATTATGAAAACAGAGGATATATGTGACCCACACCCAGCTAATATGGAGATGAGACGTACTTAATTAGTATTGGTTGATTGTTAATGCTTGCGGCTCCAGCAAATTAGGTGTTTCATTACAACTTTTGTTTGGATTGTTATTACGTCTATTATATAAAAAGAATAGGGTAAAGAATAAAATATGATTATTTAATAATAAGGAAGAGCAAGATGAGAGAAAAAAGCAAGGAAACGATGTGTCATAAAGTGACACTTTTCGTCATTACATAATCATGAATTTAAAGATACGATACAATAAAATTTAAGTAACAATCAAAACAAATATTATATTTAAAGTAATAATACGATACAATACAATATGTAACAACCATCCAAACAAGTTGTTAATGAAAATTGAAAATGCACTCTACTATTGCTAGTCAAATGTGTTTAGAGGAGAATATTCGATTATTAATCTCCTTAAATTCAAGGTGTCTTGGTTTTTATCGGTGTTAGCTCCAACTCTTGAATGCCTTAAGTTTTTAATCAAATTCGCCACACAAGACAGAAAATGAAGAATAAATACTTGTTGATCTAAAAAGACAGAGTGATTTACTTTGTTTTACTAAGACTGACTTTCATTTAACACAATCTGAGTTTTCTAGATCCAATATGTAAAAAACATCCTAATTTCTTCTTAGTACTTTAGATAATGCTATAGGACGAGCTAAGAGAAGCCAGGCTTACAAATCATTGTTCTTTTTCTTCTCCCACACAAATAAAAACTCCAGCTAAGCATTAGTTATTTTAGCTATATATCTACTCATGTTATTAGCTTCAACTGTAGCTCAAAACCTGGGAACAGTACCACACAGCTACATGATAGCTTACAAGATAACCCATTAGGGGTTGTTTGGTATGCGGCATGAGGTGGAATAAGGTGTGAGATTAAATTTATATCATGTTTGATTGATGGTGTAAATTTATCCTTATAACCCATTAGTGGTTGTTTCGTACGCGGCATAAGGTGAGATTAAATTTATACCATGTTTGGTTGACGGTATAAATTTATCCCTCAGTCTTAATACAAGATATCCCACCTTACCTCATCAAACTTGAGATTATATTATTCCACCTCCCAGAAAAATGGCTCTTAACGAAACCAACAAGGCTGTAATTGAAGACAAAATTGTTTGATTTTCTATTGACAGCAACAAGTGCATCTTTCTTGATGACAACACTATAACAGCCCGTTTTTCAGTAAGAATGAGTAAGCTCACCTATTGCCTCCGTTTTCATGAAGTCCCTAACTGTACAAATACTAATACAGTGTTGTTGCTATCAGTCTACTTTATCTGTGACTAATCCTCAAACATTCCTTCATCTGATAGCCGAGATTCAGTCCCATTGACGTAAGGTTGGTTGGATACATTCGCACTTGGGTCGCCAAGGATGCTGTAATCAAAGTCTTCTTCATCATCATCGTCATCATCTGTACCAACTTCATCGCTGTCAGAATCTTCATCATACAATTCCCGCACTATTCCTTGAGCCTCCATCTGCATCCGAACCTTGACGGCATCTTCATATGCCATTTCATACCAAACAGTACCTTTACCAACAATAGATTTATTGTGAACATCCGTCATTCGCTCCTGCTTGCTCTTCTCTGAGTTCTTTGGCTCACCCCAGTAGTCATATCTATACAAGGGACTATCAGGATCATACTGATCCTTTCCAAAAGCACTTGGATCCACATACCTACCGGGCTCTTCCAGTGGAAGCCCAAGTGCTCGGCGACTGCAAGAGCATCAAGCAAGTACACAATCAAAAACTAAGTTTAGAGATTGACTTTTCACATCAGAGAGACAAAGTTGGATCTCTTTAAATGTTACTAACGTAGATGAGAAAAAAAAAAAAGACAGCTCGGAGAAACACAACCATTGTTTTAAAGCAGATGAAAAAATAAAAAAGACATGTCAGTCAGAGTCCATATAATCTATAATGCTACGGACCCTCATGTGTAAACATTTAATACATCAAGGACATAAATGGCTACAAAGCTATATAACCAATCACTGATCAAACTGAACAGGTGAACCATTCTATGACTCATTTAACATGAAATTTATTTGTGCCACTTGGGTGTAGATGAGATACTAGTAAAATAAGAAACAGCAAAAGAGCTGTAAGACATAATAGGTAACATTGACATCAATGGCAGTAGATCAGGTAGTCAAATATTCTCATTTAAAGAGAACGTCATATTAACACTAAATGCTTTCAACTCTTTGACCAGACATCAATTCAATTTTTTAATATACACGTTATTCGTGTAAATTACTTCTATTCTGTCTTCTATTTTCTCTAGGTAGGTTATGTCTGGGACTTTGCTGGTAGCTTATTATTATCCCTTCAAATACTCTTACCATGATAACATCAAAAACAGACTGTAAGCAATTGCATTTTAGAAAATTGTACAACGTCTTGCAATAACAATCCAGTGAACAAAGGAGAAAATTAGAACTTTAGTCATCCAATCCCTGGTTATTGCAGACTCCGTTAATGAGTGACATGTGTCGCCGAATCATTTTTCTGAGGGTTCGGCGAGGGCAGCGAAGTTAGCCTGACCGCTACTTAGCTTCAGCCCTTAGACAATAAATAGCACAATCGTGCTAAAGCGATGGCAATCACACGAAACAAGCAAGAAAGCTATGAAAGAAAGAGACTCGAATTTGGGAGGCAAGTGCCAATTTTCTGTTGTATTATGCAATATCTGATGCTTACAAAGAATGAGTATAAAGCCTATTTATAGAAACTAAAATGGCTATACAAAGGGGGTGGTTGGCAGGGCTGGTAAGGTTGTTCCAGCAGCCTGGTGCATTCCAGCATGGAAAGTTGGAAAGGCAGACTTTGAGGGATTCTGCTGTCAACCATGACCCAGAAGGTCAAAGATGCCTTCCCACTTTCGGCTGCTTGTCTCTTGGTCTGCTGACTTTCTGCCAAAGGTGCCTTCTGATGGCATCTCATGATTTTTGTGTGGCCCCAAGAATTTTCCCACTGATGGCAGTCCGAGATTTGGGCTCGGACAAGTCACGCCGTCGCTGGAATTGCTGAAAATTAATAGGTGTGACGTCGGGGCGGTGCACTCTCCCCCACTTGAAATGGCGACGACCCCGATGCCACACAACTGAAGATAATTGTGGACTTGTTCCCTGAACTGCCACAAATCTTCGTACTTCTCCCATGATGCCTCCTCTGGCGAAGTTCCTTTCCAGTGAACAAGGAACTGTGCGCTCGAATTGCCCCATCCTTTTCCACGGACCAACTGATGGTCTATGATGGCTTCCACTTGCTTGTCTGTTGCTGGTGGAGTAGCAAAAATTTGGCTTCGGCTGGACTGCGCCCGATCCTTGTCTTCCATGTCTTCGAAATATGGTTTCAATTGGCTAGCATGGAAGACTGGATAGATTTTCAGATGACGCGGCATGTTCAGTCGGTAAGATATTATACCCACTTTGGCAACAATTTCGAATGGGCTCTCATATCGGCGAATCAGACTATGATGTACGCCTCGCAGTGATTTGAACTGCCGTGGATTCAATTTCACCATGACCCTGTCTCCAAGCCTATAGCTGACTGGACGACGCTTCCGGTCCGCAAATTTCTTCATTTTGCGGGCAGCCTTGTCAAGATATGACCTGGCTAGATCGGCTTGTTCCTCCCAAAACTTGGCCATGTGATAAGCCCCTGGATTTTTCAATCCGACGTTGGCGGGCAATGATTGAGGAGTGTTGGGCTGTTGCCCGGTTGCAAGCTCAAAGGGACTCCAAGTCGCCTCGTTGCGTTGCAAATTGTAAGAGAATTGGGCTATATCCAGTAGCTTAGCCCAATCTCTTTGATTGGCGCTGACATAATGCCTCAGATAGCATTCGAGCAAGGCATTAATCCTTTCCGTTTGTCCATCTGTTTGCGGATGGAAACTTGTTGAGAAGTGCAGTTGA